TATATATATATATATATATATATATATATACACACACACACTCAACTGAAAAGAGGAAGCACAGAATTCAGATTCTTCCTTGTCATTTATTAGTGGTGAATCTATTTTGCAGTCCATGTGAATTAATTTTGGCTGGTGAGCCAGGAATCACACCGGTAATTACATGGAACGGACGAACAGTCTTTTGGCAGCAAGTTCTCTGTATGCAGGCAAATTAATGTCCTTGCTGGTACACTGTCATGGGAACATGTCAGTGGAAGTTAAAACATATGACAATGCAGTACATGGACAGTCAGCAGATGTGCATGCCTTACTTGTACTTTTTTATGACAGAGAAGCCACACGGCACATGATTTTTTTAAAAAAAAGTGCTGTGAGAGTATGGGGTTTTTATGGCTCTGCCATCCTGCCAGCCTCTTGCTCTCTGGGCAAAGGCCTGCAAAGGAACCACAGAGTGAGCTGACAGCTCATTGGAGGCCTGACAACAACTCAGTGGATCCAATCCCCGACAAACCTTAACAGCTCTTCTCCTTCTGCCTTCATCCTCTCTATATTTTTTTGTGTCTTGAGCGGGTGAAATATGACAGATCTTTCTCTCAACAGCGGCTGCTACATATTTCTCCAGATTCATATGTAACCACAGACTTAGCCCATCTGCTTTTTCCAAGGTTTTTTCTCTGGCGAGCTTATGTGAGAAGAGGCCTGACAAACACAGATGAAAAAGCAGCATTCGGTTTTGTCCTTTTTCCCTCCGAGGCAGCTGAGTTTGAGTTCAGAAGAAAAGGGTGGGGGAACTATCTAGTAAAATGGGACTGTTGTCTTTTTTAGCAGCCATGAGGTAAGAGGGACTAGTTAAAAGAGCTGGAAGTGTGCCTCTGTACACATACTGAAAAGTCAGGTAGATCATGGAAAGAAAAGTAAATAGAAAGCAATTACTGACTTTAGTCTGAATACAAGTGAAGGGAAATCTGAAAAGACTATAATGTTTTTAAAAGAGGTCAATTACTACAATAGCTAAACATCGTATGAGTGCTCTGTTTTCTCAATTGATGGTATCTACACTAAAACAACAGCGGCTCCTTTACTCCAGGCGAACAGAATCTCCTGTTTACTCTTCACTGTACATCTGGATTGCCACAGCAATTCAGAAGGATGTGGTATGATTGTAATCAAGCTAGGTCTTTGATCGCTACACTGAGCTAATCCGGGGCTTACAGTAACCTCAGACAGGCTGTAGAAATCACCATTACTATACAGCTGTTACAGGAAAACTATCTGACTAAAGCCTGGATTGTATGAGGAGAGTCTGCGGAGTGCTACTCCTAAACTTTCGTCCATTGAGCTTGTCAGCACTTTCAGCAGGGATAAATGCTGTGCAGTTCCACTCACTTAACTCAGCTTTTCCGGGTCATTCATAAGCTTTTACAGAGTTCAGTCCCTACAACTCACAACTGAAAAAAAAACACCTCCCGACCAAACCATCAAACCACACTTTCATCCTGTATCTATGGTCCTGCAATCTCAACTGAGTCTTTTCAAATACAGTCCTAATAGGGTTCTACTGTCGGGCAGGGAGAAAGAACGGCAGGGAGGAGATACTGGCCAAGCTAAGGTAGCAAAGTCACACAACTGAATGTATTTTTTTTTTTTATCCCTCGGCAGATAATTACAATTTTCTCTCCTCCAAATTGCAGTGACAGGCCGATGTTCAGGAAATACCCAAAGAACTTTAATAACCCGGGCAGTGGTGAAAAATGTCCTTATCTGCGCAGTGTGGCGTGTCAGATTTATTCAGTGTTATTTTATTTGAAACCTCTGAAATAGGCAAGTTTAAAACTGAGGCAAATTCTGTAATCAACACACAGTTTCTACCTGAATTATTTAGAGAATAGAAGAACAGAATCAGTGACTGACACTACCAAAATTACAATATATGCTAAAAAATGCATGAGCTCACTATGCAGTACAATATTGCAGGTGATATTTTAACATTTTATATACTTAACAAAAAATAATGCCAAGAATAATGATGGCATATCTCCAAAAACCCATCCCAAAAGTCAGTGAAAATTACCTCTTTTTAAAGAAGTCAGTTGGGTGGATTTGAGGTGAGAGCATTTTGCTTTCATTTCCCTGAAAAGTACTTACCTGTTCAAACATATTATCCTAACAACAAACGTGCACTGGCTTCATGAAACACCCTTTTGGACCTTACCTCAGCAGCTGGGATGCCTTCGGGTGGGCGACATTGAAGTAACACTTCCTGTTCAAGTGACACTTCTTTTCCAAGAGGTTCCTGGTCAAATGTCTTTCTCAAGTCTGAAAAAACACATAAAAGACATTGTGTATTAGTGCTAAATGAAAGTGTATCATACTGGAAGATCGACAGTATATCCTGAAATATGTTTAAGATTAAACACAAAGCCGACCAGTGTTAATGTCACAAACTATAAAAACAATTAAAAGAAAAGAAAGGTTAAGTTGTCAATAAGACCTGCCTATGTAAAAGCAGTATATATAAAACAGACTATAGGTGAGTGTTATGTCTCCAAGCTCATCTTCAACACACACACACACACACACACACACACACACACACACACACA